AGTCATGTGGTGGATTCATGCCCGTTTTTGCCGCAGTTGTAGCATTTCATGTCCTTGAGATCCTTCGGTTTGCCATGTCTGGTATTGTCGAGCTCCATGGGTCCTGCATGGGTGGTCTGTCCCCAAGCCGTGCTGACGCGGGGTTTGTCGTGCTGGTACTTGCGTCCTTGATTGGATCGATGGTGGGGAATGCGAGGGTTCCATGGTCCTATAGCGGGCTTTCGTCCCTTTTCTATTCTGCGTTCGTACTGGCGATCGTCGATTTTGACGGCCATGGCGATGTACTCGGTGAGGGTTTCGGGTCTATCCTCCCGAATGAGGTCGTCCTTGACGGCGTCTTTGAGTCCTTCGTAGAAACGGGCCATGAGAGCGGACTCTGTCCAATCGAGTCGACTGGCTAAGAGTCGAAACTCCGTGGCGTATTTAGTGGCTGGCCCCGTCTGTTTGAGCTGAAGGATTTTTCTTTCGTTTTGTCGTTCCTCGTCCACGTCCCCAAACGCTCCTTTAATGGCTTCTTCGAATGCGTTCATACCTGCGTAGATGTCCTGGGTGGCCTGCTTCATATCTTCTTTCTTGGTGTGGGTGGAATAGTCCCTAATGAAGGGTTCGAACCAGTGCAAGGCGTCCCCTTTGAGGTAAGAGGAGGCGTTGGCGACCTTCTCGCCCCAGTACTTAAGTTGGCCCTCATTGGCTTTGTGGTACTGGCGTACCTGGGTGATGAAAGACTGAAGTGCCCTAGGGTTGCCGTCGAATGACTGAGGGGGAAGAGCCTTCATGCTCGTTCCGCCTTGAAGTTGTTGCATTGAGGCTCGGAGCTGTTCGTTCTCCGAACGGAGCTCCTGGATCATAGCGGCCAAGTTGCTGGCGCTGTTTCCGACGCTGTTGGTGGACATTGTTCCTGTGGTAAGTATTGCTCAGTGTCACAAGGTAAACCTACTGAACAAGAGTGATCAAAATGTTACGACCTGGCAGCTTCCGAAGGGGGAACACTGTCAGAGGGTTAGGGTTGCTGTTTGCAGAAGCTTAGGTTGTGACTCTGAGACGATGTGGTGTCGTAAGGCGTTGCGCACTCGTTACAATGAATACAAGGTAAGACTTAGATTGATCACTGTCGTGAGAAGGAATGTATCTACAAGTCCAGAATGTCCGTCCTTATATACCTGCCATCCTGTCCTTGTTGTGTTAGGTGGTGAGCTCATGTTGGATGGCTCACTGTTATATCGTGATCCTCTTATGTTGGATCACGGCTCACGGTGATCCAAGCATAATAGTGATCCTTGGTCCTGGATCACTGTTTCCTGGTGATCCTGTCACGTGACCTAGCCTTGGCAAGCCTTATCTTATCAGTGACCCTGGATCTTCTGACGTGGGGTTTGTCTGCGGCCGGTTGTTCGACCCGTGCTTGTTACACTTATATAGGTAATAGTAACTTAGAGAAGTAGATAATTAATTAAGAATTACTTATTATAAGACTTATTAGATACCCTACCTATTTAGAGCTTATAAGTATAGTAGAAGTACTAGATTAGGGTTTATATAAATAATAAAGCCCTTTTACTAATTATAATTATATTATTAGTATAATAGAATAATATAGCCTTTAAAGGTAATATAAATACCCCTAAATTAGATTCTAATATATTAAAACCTAAGCTTATTAATATATATTATAATCGATATAGGAGGTATTAAGTAACGATTAAGGGTATAGCTTAATTATAGAATAAAGAGATAATAATAGATAAAAGGAAGGGAGAGATAAAAGTAGCTATATCTCTAGAAGGAGATATTAAATCGAAAAATAGATTAAAGATTTTTATAGCCCTTAACGAGAGCTATAAAATAGTATATTTTTCGTTTAGATCGAAGATAAATAAGTTAAGGGGTAATTAAGAAAAAGGTTATAATTAACTAAGAGAAATACTTAGATTAATCCTAATAGGAGTAAAGCGTATCTTAGAAAGTATTTATTTATAATAATTAAGAATATATAAATTAGATAGGAATTATTATATAAGGGGAGCTTACGAGTATAGTTAGAATTAGATAATTATTAAGATCTAAAAACCTAAAAAATAGGTCTAGGGGGTACCCTCTATATATAATAGATTAACCCTTAATAGCTATACGTAGATAAGGCGCTTAGATTATTTCTAGACTTATAGGGAAGTAGAGTCGGATTTTAAGCTCTAGCTAATAGGGTATTAGAGAACTTAAATACTTATTATTATAGAACGGCTCTATAGAATATTATAAAAACTATATCGTTCTATAGCTATAATCTCTCTCTATTTTATAAGATATATATTATTATAGTTTAGCTTTTATTTAAGCTACTAGAGTAGTTATAAGACTCTAACCCTTATAACTCCTATAAAGCTATTTAAACCTTTAAGTAGATTTTCGTACTAGAGCCTAGGGGACTACTTTAACCTATATAAGGCTTTAATTAGCTTATATATATAGTTATCTTATATAGAGAAACTAGTAGGTTAAATAATATATATATCTTTATCTATATCTATATAAATAAACGTTTTATTAATATCTAACTATTTAAAATCCTAGCCTAGATTTAGACTTAATATAAAACCTAATCTATAGCTCTTAGGTCTATAGGTAATACTAAAGGTATCTAAGTAATCTATATTAATAATTTAGTTAAATCCCTATATTACCTATCTAGCTTTATATTTTATTAATTTCTTATTTATATCGTATTTTATTTTATAAACCTATCTACCCCCTAGTATATATTAGCTTCTTTAAATAGGGTATCTTTATTAATTAAGGATTAAGTATCTTAATCTATTAATTCCTAAAATTCTAAATTCATAGCTTTATCCTAGTTATCTTTATTAGGGCTATTAATAGCTTAGCTATAAGTAGTAGGTTCCTTTATAGTACTTATAGTAAGGATATAGTTCTAGCTTAGGAAGTTAAAGGAATTCCTTAGTAGTATATCCGATATATTTAGCTTCGAAAAGCTAGGCGCGGATGCTGGTGTTACATAGTCTATCTATTCGGATGCACTCTGTTGCAACCTGCAACTGGGCTTACCCTTGGCCCTTTGAGGGTCTAAGGAACACCGAGGAGCTCATAGATTTCGGGCTGGAAGTCGGGGTCTGTCAATGTCTGATGAAATTCAGATTGGGCAGGCACTGTGACCCTGGATTCGTGATCTTTCGCGGTACTATTGGGTGCCTTCGCAAGTGACTCTTGGAGGTTTTTGAGTGACCGGATAACGAACTTGTCTATCGGTCTGAACGACACTTCGTAGTCCTTTCTAGGTCGCACTTGAAGGTTGGGAGAGTACTTGCAGAGGTCTCCAGAGAGTTTGCAAACATGAGCCATGGAATCCAAGTCTGGGCTGCGAACAACATGTTCCGAGTATGCATGCATCTACAGGTGGGCATGCGTAAACATCGCAGGCAGAAGGCCGGTCTATCCACACTGGCATCTTGTGGCTATTGATCTACTCGGTGCCGATATTGCGAAGGACCCTTTTCCTCCATTCATAATCTCGCTCTCGTGTTCCACCGAAAAGATGCCCCATTTGGTATTATTATAGACTAGTAACTTTCCCCTGCTTCAAAGTTGATGCTCACACGCCAAACGGGTCCTAGACAGACCCTAGAGTCATATTCGACTCGCCTGGTGCAATCTATTGATAAAGGCTGCCTTCGTCTGCCGATGGTTCTCACGATGGTTAATGGCCTATTCCAGTCTCTTCCTGTGTCTGTGTGTATGGCGAGGGCCTTCTGCAAGTTATATGGGCTTTTGAAATTGTCCGCCACTTCGGTCAAGAGTTCAGAAATGGCATCGGTTTCGAAATCTTGTTCCCACGCGGGACGCTCGAGGAGAAGGTAGGAAAACTCCTCATCGTTTCTGGGCGAAGGTCGAATGCTCCAGATAACCACGAGATAGAATACAGCGGGAAGCATGACGTGCTCATCATCCAGCGATCCAGCATCGCTCAAGTCCGCGGGCGAAACATGAAAACGGCAGGCCGTCCACTGCTTTCCGAGCATGCCCACGGACGCCATGAACAGATTCCGCTCGGCGTCAAAGTGATTCGAGGGCCACCTGTTGTAGACGTACGCCATGACGTCTGGGCACGCGAGGGGCTCGATGTGCAGCACTGCCATGCAGGAGGCAGCTCGTTGGAACAGTGGAAGGAGCGTCTGGCTCTGGCGTATGGAGGTATGGGCTGGCAATGACACAATCAGGTAGATGGTCTGTCGTTTTTCAAAGGCAGGCTTTTCCACATAGTCGACTTTGTTGAACGTGTTGGGACGGGACGGGTCCCGGGCGAAGATGTCGCGGCCCCATTTCTGCAGCGGCACCACAATCTCGACGGCGTTCTGCAGGCCAGTGTAGCAGCCTAGACGCAGGATGTACGATGTGCGGAGCTCGCCCGCCACGGGCGAGACTGTCGTGTAGACCAAGTCCCTGGACGTCTCGAGCCGGATGCCCTTGTTGGTCATGACAAACTCGGGCTCCATCATCCCAAACGTGTCCCTCCTTGACACGAAGTTGCAGGAGGCAAAGTCCGCGGGGCTCTCGGCAAGACAGCCCCGCGCGACATCGACCTCGGGACGAGCGACCAGGCACGGCGGAGACCAAGTAAAAATACTGAGATCGTTCGTCTTTTGGATAATGTGCTCTTGCAACCGCAGAAACGCATTGTCTTCCTCGCCGTACAGGAGCGGCATGTTGACGCCGAAGAGGCCGAGAAGACAATAGGCCATGTCCTCCTTCCGCGTCGTCGTTCGGCGGGCTGCCCACGACATCTTCTCCGCCACGCAAATGACCCCGAGCGGCGTGCGGCCGTCCAGAACACGGGAATTGACGCTGGTGACATCTTCCAGCTGGCGCCTGAGTCGTAACTTGGTCCCGATGGTGCGCCAGGCGTTGTCGTAGAAGCGGACGTCTTTGTCCGGCAATGAGCTCCTGCAGCGTCCATCCTCGCGTGAACCAGCGGCAGCGCTTCCACGTGTTTATCTTTTTCCTCGTACGCCGCGGGAAAGGACGACAGGTCTTCGAGGTAGACGCAGCAGACCTGGGCGCGATGGACCACAAGAACATGGAGTTGATGGCCCCGGTGATTTTTTGGGGGGGGGGGGAAAAAGTCGATTTTTTTTTTTTCCCCCCCCCCCACGTATTGGAGGGCTTTCGGGGGGCGGGGATCTCGCAGCTCTTTCAGGATCTTGTCTAAGCCCTGCGGAGGTGATGGGGGTTGCGTTGCCCCGCCAGCTACTTGCTTGAACGTGACTTCGCTTCCATGGTTCCGTGCCCCCCAGTATTTGTAAATAAATGTTTTTATTGTGTTTATCTCGTCTGAAAAACCCCCTGGGATTTCAAAGGTG